AATATTTTCAACAACAAAACACTATATAAGAGGGGTGGAACACAACCCCCAAAAACCCCCACACAACTTGGGCTGGTGGGGGATTTCTGGGAGTTGAAGTCCACCCATCTTAAAGTTGCTAAGGTTGAGAAATACTGTCCTAGAGTATTGGATAAAATGGACATATGGAGAACAAATTATGTGCTAAAGTGATCACCCATTCATTGTAAAGTTTATGGCATTTGTTTCCACGCATTTACCCACCTTTATGGGGGGAGGCACATTTTCAGCAATCCTTCCATTCTGTCACTTTGGAACGGAGCAGATCAAATTGCACTCATTAAGGCTCTCCAAAATAATGAGAAAATACCCCCCGCCCCGCATGTGGGAAACGTAACACCTAAAACAGAACGAAGAGCAGAAATTTTCTCTTTGTTCAGATTAGCTGTCCGCACGCAGGGGATTATTTGTACTGAACTATTTAAGCGTGCTTCTTCCCAGCTTAAATGAAATTCTGCAGGATGGATTCTACCATCCCAGTTTTGGGGAATATATCTAGTGACATTGAAAAAGAGGCTTAGCTAGTAAGCAAGAGTAGATAAACTTGTTTGGAAACATTAGTGTACAACTTAAATTCCCAAAGATCTTTTTCGTAGCAGGAGCTGTTGCTTAGAAATTACTTGGGAATGAATGTGGGAACTTCTGAAAACAGAAGAGACGCTCTCGAACGAAGCCATGAACGAAGCCTGTTCCATGACCGGAAACCAACTCCAGCTAGCTTTTTAAAACTCTTCCATTATTTTATATGGAAAATTTCTATGGAATAGTAAAAACAGGGAAGCCAATGGCACTTCAACGACTCAAAAATGTTCTGTGGCACCTGGAAGGTTATATGAAAAATACCCTTAAAAACATTGCAAAAAGTCAAATCGCTTGACTTTTCTATTATGCAACCGGAGACACATAAGAAAGGGTGAGAATTTAACAATAACCCCTGTTTTGCTTTTGGGGAAGAGATACGATCTGAAAAAAATGGTCCTTATTACAATACTGTTATTTAAATATATTTCCCCCTTATGGCAAGTGGAAAAGTGGATGAATCGTAACTCTATAGGGTCCTGAGCATGGGGTTCAGCTCCTGAGATACTGTTCTTCATTGTTCATTTTTTAAAGTTTATTTTAAAAGCCCAGGAAGATAGCGTTGAAGCATGGAAGCAATTCCTGTTGAAATCAAAGGGGCCAAAGCGGAGTAGATTTCCCCCCCCGCCCCACCATTAAGGACTGGAATGGTTAATGGAACGCAAGCCAAGCTGTAGGGATTTCCATGTGTAACCTTAGATACTACGCAATTCCTGCAGAGGCACAAAACTGCAACACAGCTATAATACTGCAGCTATTTCTATCAGGTGAGGGAATCCATCTTCCATTTCCCATCCTGGTCCCCAAAGCTGTCAACAGCACCAGCGATGCATCTGTTAAGACTGCGCCCTTTGGTGAACATGGCAACGGGTCGGCCTGGGCTGGGGAAAAGGTCACCGCCCAGCCACGCGTGTGAGCAGAGGAGAGATGTGTCTCTCTGTGTCAACGCACAGTCTCATGGTGTTGGCCCAGGCGGAACAGGATCGGCTTGGGAGTTTCTCTGGGTCAGCTGGCCATCTGATTCTGGCTATAGGTTACGTCCCAGTCTTGTTTTCAGAAAAGAAGGAAACGAAAACACATTTTTGCTTCTTGAAAAAGGCACCTTTGTGTCAAAATCTGAAAAACAACCCAGACTGAACTTAAAAGGGCTGGTCCCATTTCAAAAGTGAAGGCATGCATAGTATGTATACATTGGCAGGTACACAGAGACACATACAGAGATGCATAATGGAAGATGGTGCAGAGCAGAGAAGGCCACCACTTTGTGTCTCTTAGATGCTAGTTAGAACGGTGCTACTCAACAGCTGCACCTTAAGAGTCCCGGGCAGTACTGCGGCCCGTTTGTTTCCTTTGTCTTGGAGATGGAGAATGTGCAATGGATGGAGCTCGTTGGGGTCCCCAACCAAGGTAACCTGGCCCAGAAACTCATCTGTGATAAGGTTATGGTTCCAGATCTGGATGGAGAGAAAGAGGAAGGGGTATCAGACAGGAAAGGCCCTTTGTGTGCAACTGCACGTTGGCCTCAAACTCAAGAGTCGCTCTGGTGATACGTTCAGCTTTGAGAAACATCAACTTGAAGTTAAAATGAAGCATGTCGCCCTTGCAAAGAGAGAAATTTAGGAACTTCCATGTCTGTGAGAGATTGGCAGAAGAGGAGCAACAGGAGCAGCAGAAGACCACTGAGGTGACTTGAGTGACCAGCATTTCAACAGGGGAAATAAAGTAAAAGTTGGAACATTTAAGAAAGTGGAATTTATTCTGAGTCTTGTCTTCAACTGTGCCCTGCTCAAAACCAGTCTCCTCTGTTCCCTCATAAGCTCAAAGCAGCAAAGGCAAGAAACAAATAACTAAAATAAGGAAAGCAAACCAAAAAAGCGACTAAGAGAAGTTTAAACATCTTCTGGGTGCTGAGAAACAAGGGGAGGCTGTAATACGTAGGACTACTGGGTGCTGATCTTCTGCCTACTTCTGTCACTATATCAACCTGTTGAGTTGATATCGTGAAAAATATACAATCTGCCACTCGCAATTCAGTGTATTTGGGAGGGAAGAAAAGAGGAGCATCTCCCAGAATCTCCCACCAGCAGGTCAATGGCTGGGGATTCTGGAAATTATAGTCCCCACTCCTGGATAGCACTGAGTTAGGGAAGTCTGCTTTACCTGAATTATGACTGGCTGCCCCAGCTTCTTACGGTAGAAAATTCCTTTCACATCAAATTCTGGTGTCAGAGTGTTCTTCAGGACCGGTGATCGGATTTTCTCTCCTTCACACTTTATGACCACATAGGGATCCACTCCTGGGGCATGGGGGAAACAAAAGGAATGATCACCCCATGCTCCCTGATCCCCTTAAATAAGCCTGCCCTGTCTTCATGCCTGTCCCTGATTCTTAAGTTCCTTCCTTAAAATTCCATACTTGCCACAGAATCATTTTTTGACCTGTTTCCAAAACCCTCCAAACATCTATGACCATGGACCAAGCTTCTTCTACTACTCTGAGGAACACAGCGGTGATGGAGAAATACCATCCTCGAGGGGTTTCCTTGGGCCCTCTCTTCTACCTTCTTCAAGCTTAGAAGATAAGACATGAATAACGTCATCCTATATATACTGTAGGATCTAAGGCATCTTGGAAGAGGATCAGTGAGATGCGTACAATACCATCAGATTTCAGCAACTTTATTGACAGGGAAGCAAAAGGATTTTCTATGTTGCCCTTGATCTGCACATTGCTCACTTGGGCCTAAGATCATCTAGGGTGATTAGATTTGAACCCGGATTTCCTACTCTGCTCTTGGCCAACCTTCTAAGAAATTACAATGGATTCTCTTGTTGACATGCCAAATGGGATTTAAACTATTTGGATGGAAACATCAGTGTCCTGCTTTCCCTTCCCTTTGACCATGCTTGGCTTGAAACCAGTACTGGAGTGATGTGGTACCTTCTTCAGAGCCCTGGTTCTTCAGCCCAGAAGCTGAGATGACATAGACTTGGGACACCAATTGAGGATAACCACATATTCCACTCCAACAGGTGTGAGGGGGCTCATCCAGGGTCAGTTCTCTGGAAAAAGAGGATGAAATACCCAAGAGACATCAGATATTTCAAAGACCAGGCCTTTTGTCTTTTACAAGCAAGGGCCCACCTTGGCTGGCCAACCTTGCATACACAACCAGAGGAAAATCTCGTATGAATTGCAGCTGCACAAGACAAGAAACAGTGAAATACAAAGGGGGTACATGGCTGGCTTCCCATAACATGTGTAACCAGGTCCTAGTGACTGCATTCATACAACATGCATCATTTTAACCCTGGTTTGGCTTTTGCAATTCATCCAATGAAATGTACTGAAAAGGAAAGAAACTTTACCATTTTTTTAAAAAAATGGCAAAATGAGAAACTTGGTTAATAATTGGTTAAATCTGTTGTATGAATGTAGCAAGAAACAATGGGAGTACAGATGAAGGTAGTTAAGATATTCATACATAGATATAAAGCTCTCTTGCATAAAATCAGAAAAAGGGAGGGAGGGAAGGTAGGTAGGTAGGAGGTCAGTGATAGGTCATGAAGGAAGGGAGGGAGGAAGAGCCAATCAAATGCCTCCCAGATGGTAGCCAAAACCTCATGAGGCAGTGAATTCCAAAGGTGCATTTTACATTGTGCAAAGTAGCAACTTCTTCTGCTTTCCCTGGTCTCCTCCCACCCAACCTCTTTCAAAGGAAGACAGGTGGAAGCCTTGGCCCTTACTTGCAGTCAGAAGGCACGTCTGTGAACTGCCTGAACAGGAACTCGGCCAGGTGGCCAGGCTCAAAAGTGGTTGGTATGATGACATAGCGACCTTCTTTCAAGTCTGTCCTCAGGAAGACACTACGAGAATTGATGTAGATAGAGCTGGCTACTTTGGTCTGCAAAGTATGCATTCGGTAAATCCGGTTGAGTTCCACCTGGGTGTAAAAAAAAAACAGAAAAAATTAGGGAAAGGTTTACAGCAGTGTTTTTCAAACTTGGCCACTAAAATGTGTGGATGCTGGCTGGGGAATTCTGGGAGTTGAAGTCCACACACCTTAAAGTTACTAAGGTTGAGAAGCACTGCCCTACAGAGATATGAATGAAACTAACTAGGGGTGCTCAGGCCAGGCACCATCTATCTCACAAGAGAGTTGTGAAAAGAAAATGAAATTTTCCACAAAGAAAAAAGACAAGATAAAACACACATAGGTGGCTCTTGTGACTAAATATATGTACCACTTGATTTCTTTCCCTGAAAGAGAAGCAGATTACTTCCTATATTATATCTGCATATAACCTTATTGTTAAATCACATTTAACTTGTTTATAAATAGCTTATAGTTTATAAATCTGAGTAAAGAGTATGAATTCTAGAAGGAGGTTTCCTGGCTGAAAAGCCTGAGGAAAAGTATTTTTAAAAAGGGCCAGCAAAAATTAAAAACCACAGAAGAAATACATAGGCTATAGAATACAATTACAGAGAATAAAAATGAAAGAAATAGCTGCCATATTTTGGATAAAATGCAAAGCTGCCTTAATAGAAGAATGTGAGCAATGTAATTTTCAATGTCAGGGAGCCAATGTACTTCAAATCAGCCAAGTACCGAATGCTTAGAGATTTTAAAGGAACCAGAGGTGAATTAGAAGCATAAAGAATCTTTGACACCCAGAAATTACAAATGGAGTTGCGAGATGAACAGTCTCAACATCAGCATGGAAACGCAATGTTGTAGTTTCAGATTCAGTGGAAAAACCCAGTTAGCCAAAAGGACATGGCTTTTTATATGCCCTGGGAAGATCCCCACACCTATCAATCCACTTCCCCACACTTATCAATCCACTTTTGAGAGAGCTGCTAAAAGATGGCACTTGAGAGAAGACTTCATGAAATTCATCCTATCTTTGGTGAAAGGAGACCTAGCAGAGATCTGCAAACACCGTTCTGAAGAACTATCTACTTCCTATCTCTACAGTCAGAATCAAAAAGGGTTCATCCAGCTGTGGGATTCTGGCCATATCCAAAATGCCTTATGAGAAGTCGGTCATCCATCCAGCTTACCTTGTAGATGTCAAATCCTATGGCTAAGTTTTCCCCCTTCCCCTCCTTCTGGCTGGTCCGTTTGGGTTTTTGCTGGATGCAGACCAGCACTTCGTCCTCTGCTTTCTTCACATCAAAAACATACTGGATTGAAAAGGAAGGGCACTGTTAAGAGTCAGCCCTTTGAGGTGAGCCAGATCAGCAAACAGAAGATAGAAATACTCAAACTCTACTTTATTGTTATAGGTATCGTAACAGAATCTTGAAAGCCAGACATAATTTCTCCCTTCCTCTCATACCCAAGAGTGTCAAGACGGGCCAATCTTGAGTTTCTTCCTCATCCCCTCCTGTTTTTCTGGGCTAGGCTGATGTCTTTGTAACGGCTGCTGCGTAGTTTCTCCAAGGCTATCTCTGCTCCTCAACCGCTAGCCATCAAGCCAGAAAGATTGCAGTGGCAAAACAGCTGATTAAGGAATTCCTATTCAATGGAGCTTCCAGATGAACATTTCCCAGTTTCTCTTCTGCCAGGAACTTTTAGCCCAGCCTCAGTATTTCCCATTTGCAATATGGGAGTATTAATGTTGGCCTGATTTGTGGAAGGCAGCTGTAAATATGTCCGAGGGACGTATTTTGATCTTTGGAAACACTAGGCCAGTGTTAATATTCTTTCTCCTGCTCTACATGCAAACTGCAGTCAATTTTATTTTTTCCATCAGATTCTACATTTTAAAAAATGAGGTACAAAATCTACTCATTTCAGTTGCATATGCTGCTTTATTTGAGGTGATACAGTGATAGCTTGGTTACAAAGACTAGGAAGAAGGGGTGTAGGCTGTTGATAAATGTCTGGTAACTCAGAGAATATGTCACGGTAGTGTTTTATACAATTTTGCATGACGACACCATCAAGCAAGTAATGTACTTTACATCGTTCAAATAATGACATCATAATGCACAGGACATCATTTGTACCACTCGCACAATAATGTCATGACACAAATAATTTTTGCTATGTTGTCTAGGCTAGGCGTAGAGTCCCTGAGCTGCTCCTCTGACAGGAAACTCCGTGTGACTGGAGCCACAAGGAGAGAGACGAAGTGGCATCTCCTGGGGTAGGGTACAAGGTGGACACTGAGGAGAATCCCAGGAGAATCAGAACTACAATAGCTGCGTTCACACAACACAGTTCACCAGCTCAGTGAAATATCTAAGGGTTATGTTAGCATCGCATGTGAAGCTTGCTGACTTCTAACCTTGGAGGAGTGTTTTTGATGGCTGAGCATGTTATTTGAATCCAGTTGACTGGATTAATCATCGGCTCAGTGCCTCAGTACGCTGATGATACTCAGTTGCATGTCTGAATTGGGGTGCTGTGGCTGTGCTTTTTTGGTGTTTGGAGGCTGTGGGGGCTTGGATGAGGAACAGGCTTCAGCTCAGCCCTGGCAAGACTGGTGGTTTGGGGGCCTTTGGGTTCCTGGGACTTACTATCGTTGAAGCTGAATGGGGTTGCTCTACCCCAGACAGACCCTGTGCACGATCTGGGGGTTCTTCTGGACTCACGACTCCTGCTCAAAGACCAGATGGCAGCCATGGCCAGGAGGGCCTTTGCACAGCTTTGGGTTGGGCGCCAGTTGTGCCCATTCCTGGACCAGGAGGCTCTACTCTCAGTCATTCATGCCCTGGTCACCTCCTGAATGGACTACGTAATGCACTCTACATGGGGCTTCTCTTGAAGAGCATCTGGAAGCTTCAGCTGGTGCAAAATGGAGTGGCACAGGCAGTTATGTGTGCTCCAAGGTCAGTGCATGTTATACCTCTGCTCACAAGCTGCGTTGGCTGCCAGCTTGCTTCTGGATTCAATTCAAGGTGGTGGTAACATCCTGTGAATCCCTACAGAGCATGGGTTGAGGCACAGCCCTTCCCTGGTTACATCTACCTGTCCCACCAGGACAGGCAGGAGAGGCATGTTACGGGTCCCGTCTACTAAGGAATGTCATCTGACGGGACCCAGGAAGAGAGCCTTTTCTGCTGCAGCACCCACTCTTTGGAACACGTCCCCCCCAGAAGTTAGTTTGGCCCTAACCCTGCTGTCCTTCCAAAAGGCTCTCGAGACATGGTTCTGCCAACATGCCTGGGGATCCGGTTATGGCTCAGAGCCTGCCAGGTGGCTAGATTGATTGATGGATCCATGACTTTCACTTGCCTGCTCTTTCTGTTTCTCAGTTGTAATTTTGGTTTTTAATTGGGTTTTTAATTGGATTTTAAAGGGGGTTATTGTGTTTTTACTGATTTTTGGATTTTGTTTATTGGTTGGGCTATGTGGTTCTTTTTAAGTGTGTGAGCTGCCCAGAGTCACAAACATGAGATGGGCAGCTATACAAATGGAATAAATTAATAAACTGTCAAATGGAGAAAATGGATTAATTCCATTACCAGGTTAAGTGTGTTGATGCAGCCAATATATATATGCGTTTCCATGTGTATGTTTGTACAGCACCATAAAACACAGCCTTGAAGGTGAGTGTGCCCATCTCTATATCGGCCATACCATAGAACTCTATGACTGTATTTGCACAACGGGCCTAAACCTGGTTACTGAATTAATCCATTTCGTGGATTTGCACGATAAACGGAGTCATTAGGGGCCCAACCAAGCTGAGTTTGTGCAGTTGACTTTGCCACCAGAAACCCTAACCAAATTTAACACAAACCAAGCAGAGCGTATTGTATGATGGAGGGGCATTCATTGTTCTGGTTACGCATCTTGCACAAATGCAGACTAAATGTTGGCAAAGAAAAAAGAGAGAAAGGGGCTGTGTGTGTGCGCGTGTGTGTGTGAGTGCGAGTGCATGAAGAGATACTGGGGAAGAGGAAAGGAAGCACTATCCTGCTCCGTCCATCCATCCATCCATCCATCCATCCATCCATCCATCCATCCATCCATCATCTTAAGATGTGGTGTGAACCATCCAGGTCTTCACGCTAAGCCAGAAGAGGGTTGATTGTTAAACCCAGCATGCTATGTGAACATGCCAACAGTATTTTGTTAACCGGGGTTCATACCCTTATGATTTGAAGATGGGGCTATAAAACCTTTATATAACACCGTACTCCACATGACTCCAGGCTCACAATAATAAAACCTGCAATAAAACAGTTTTAACACCATAAAAAGCATCTCAAGACAATGCCATAAAACAAGGTAACAGATACAAAATCTCAAAGTTATACCTACAAGGGAAATCTCCTTGCAGGAACATAGAAATACATTGCAGTGCCTCACGTGCCCTCCCTCTTGACCTTCATACCTGGGGGTTCTGCAGGAACGTATCCCGGTTGTTGACGCAACCTCCACAGCGGTTCTTCAAGGGGTCTTCATGCCGTGTCCAGGCCCCCCGCAAGACCGCTTCTTCCCACGTCTTATGGATGCTCAGGTAGGAGGTGTTGATCAGGCGGCATTTGATGATGTCAGTGAAGTATTTACAGAAGTCATCAAAGGCCATCCTAGGACAGGAGAAGTTGACACTCAGCTCAGGCTTTATTGCTCTTGTAATGATATATGGGAAAGACCTTGAGAGACGGGATGAAGAGATGCTGCCTAGGGAACGATCAGATAAGAGAGGGCATAGCCTGCAGCTGCATAATGGATGGAGAAAGAGGCTCAGAAGGAACCCTCCCTAACTTCTCAGTTTGTAAAGGAGACAGCGGGAGATTTGTACTTTCAAATTTGCAAGATTCTGTTAATGCAGCCTTACAATAAAGTAGAATTAGCTCATCTGGTTGTGCTTCCTGTCTGGTCTATCTGGGAAGATTGACAGCTCTGTCCTGGTCCCCTTTTCTTAGCTACACAAAGTGGATGCCATTTTCAAAGCCTGCGGTTGTCTTCCTGCGTGGGCCCAAGAAGGACAGCAAAGGCTTTGCCTCTGCTTCCACCAATAAGTACTCAAGTTGGATTCATTTTAAATGCACGGCTTATCTGTATTTTCTACACTCCAATGTCTGGGAACTTCCAAAAATCTTCAGAAGCAAACAAATAGATTAGATTCACACAACAAAACACTCCAGGGTCAAAGAGTTTGGGTAGTCTATGGTTAGGGGAACCCCAGCCATTGTCTTAGGATGTGGTGTGAACTATCCAGGTCATCACACAAGCCAGAATGGGTTGCTTGTTTAAACACAATATGTTATGTGAGCATACCAATAGTATTTTGTTAACCTGGATTTATACCTGGAGGTGGGGATATAAAACAAGCATGAGCACATCCTATCCGTGGGCAGGAGTGGAACTTTAGTTCCTTTTCTGAGTTTTGTGGGGGACACTGAATTCAAGTTTTTGTTTTTTAGTGTTTTAGGGATTGCCCTGATCAAATCTCAACCACTGCTTTGCTAATTTCTGGAGAGGGTTATGAAAATTGGGGGAAAATGGGACATCCTGGGATTATAATCCTAAAGTCTCCAATTTTACATGGGGGTCTGCAAATCACAATATAAAAGATCTCTGTTCATAGCAGACCAGCAGTGATCAACATGACCAACATTGGATCAGTGTCAATTTTTTTTCCACCATTCTAAGCCTTGTCCTCCAGTAAACACTGATTAAAGGGCTAATGTGTTGATTCACTTAACACAGTGGGATTCACCTGGGAACTGGCAAAATATACCTGGCATTGTTGCCACAAAAATTACCTGGATGTGTGCATGAAGACAGAAGAAGCTGAACTTGATTTGAAAAATATTTTACATTCATGGTGGAAAACTTTGGCCAGCATACTGCCTAGGATCTATTCACTGAACCCTCCCCTTTAATTTTATTTGCACAATATGCTCACCAAAATTCCCCATCGTCCTCCACGGTCATCCCTAGTTTCTCTCTTTCACCACTGCTGACTTTCTGCCATTCCTCGGAGCTGTAGAAAGAAAAATAAGCTTTTGGGATTGCGAGAACAAGGAGAACCTTCGGGGGCATGTTAGTAATTCTACCCTCTGGGAACAAGCATATAATTCTATCTTTTGGTCACCTAGGGCAGTGATACTACAATATCTATCTTTAGAATGGTGTACACAGCCCACCTCCCTTTAAGTTCTCAGAGCCAAGAGATATAGATGTTACATTACCACACGTCCTCATGTACAAGGTTTTGCAAGTCTTCCACCCCCCTCTTGGGGGTGAGAATTTCTCTACATCTACACAGTTTCTAATCCTGCGGGGTGCTTTCAGTCACCACCAGGAGACAGAACATGACTGGATTCATCCTTAATGGGATTCGTCAGATGTACGTAGCATATGCTGCCTTCTGGTGGTCAATATAAGTTAAAATATCATGTAGGACATACACTGTATAAAATAAAGAATCCCACCCCCACCCAAGAAGGGGAGCATTGGAGACCATGTAAGCCTTGTACATGGAGGCATGACCTAACGGAGTGTCTGTATTTTCTGCTCTGAGAGCTTAGGGGAAGGTGGACTGAATACACCGTTCTGACAGATTCTATATGTCCCTTACTGCACCCACTAAACTCCAAAATCTGGATAGGTCCTAAAGCTAATGGACTGTACATTGTCGTCTAAAGTGCAAAAGGCCATGAATTCAATTCCCAGTAGAAGGTTTGAGCCCCTACAATAAGATCTGCGGCTAAGTACATCTGAAGAGTCCCAAGTAAGAATGAAACGGTTCGTGGATTGCCTCCTGATGGTCAATATAAATACAACTCCAAGACAGGAACTCACATGATGAGAACAGTTATCTACATAATAACGTTTTAAGAACCTATTCAAACATTAAAAAGTAAATCAAAGTAAGTAAAGGTACTTTGCCCTGAAAAACACAAGAAGAACATTTCCTTTCCTGACATGCTATTTTCCAACTTACCTGGTTCTTATTATTTGTTAATAGGGAAGAAAATGAGGAGTATTTGTTCCTCCATGAGAATTAGGCCAAAGAGATGCAAACAACATGGATGGGTGCAAGACACCTGGTGCACCCTTTGATGGGTGATCCACCAGCCGGACTTACGTGTCACTCCATGGGCCATTCCATTCTCGCTCTCCCCAAGGATTCCTCAACCGGATCATGTCCAGCTTTTCAGACTTGAAGTATGCCAGCAAGCCGTGGCCAAGGCGGACTTTCCTCACATCGGTGACGGCATAGGCGTGGCCTTTGACCAGGCCACAGTCCAGGCGGGCTTCCATATCAGCAGCTGAAACAGCCTTGGCAAGAGAACATATGATGCATTTCATGTTTTATGGGGAAAAAAGAGATTAAACGTTGATCCTGAGATCCCCTGCCGAGAAACTCTGGCAAGGATGGTTAGGTGGTAGAATGGGGAGATATGAATGGTATTAGATGAAAAGTTTGCAAGCCTCCACTAACGACTCAAGTTTGAATGTTATTATTACCCACTGTTAAAGCAGAAACTTTGGGATAAATGAAAAGCAGGACCTACTTAGTGGTGGCACTAATGCTCCAGAATACCTTCCTTTGAAACACCAAGAGCCTTCTCACTTGTTGAAGATCTGGCTCTTCAAAAGAGGTCTTGAGTGGGAAGGTGGACTGGTAATCTGTTGTGTGTCCACATTCAAATATTATAATACTCTATCACTGTATCAATGTTTCAAAATTAAATCACATTTCCACAATGTATTAGAATGTGTGTGCACAGGCTGTCTCACACAACTGAAGTATGTTACTTAATTTTCCAGTCCAAGAAGCACAGAGGGAAATTTGTCATCTGATATTGAGTTCAAAAGATCCCTCCCCACTCACAGTTGCAAAAATGAGATGTGGTGGACACTGATTTTAATTGAATTTAATTTTTAACATTTCATGAGGCATAGTATCAGTAATGACCCTGTTAATCTGTAAAGATGCCCAAAGGTGATTATTAGCAACGTCTGTGACCTTATTCACATAACAGGCTAATGTCGGTCATGGGGGAGGAAACAAACAAGTACTATGAACTATTTAACTTGCATAGATGATCAAGCTTAACTAATCCATTGGGGAGTTAGATCCAGGCTCAAACAGAGATGGTCTTGTTAAGGGCTTAACTAACTCCCACTAGTCAAATAACCTGCATCGCCATCAAGTATTATTATCATGACAGTATTATTGTGGAGTGTTGACTCTCTTTCCTTCTAAAATTGAGTTGACATCCTAGACAGACCCCACAAAAACAGGGCCTCTCTAGGAACTCCTATCTCTGTAGGAAGCCCATCTTAGCTTCAACCATTTCCCTGCAGGCATGTGGAAGGCTGATGAAAAAAAGACAGAACAAGGAAGCACAGTACAGTCTCAAATCTGCCCCCAGTAGCATCAACTCAAAATTCCCAAATTGCCTCAGCATGGATGTTTGTTTGTGTATGTATGTGTGTACATGTGGCTGGTTGGATGGACGGACAACATCTTGGCCTTTTTATGGCTAAAGAAGATTGAAAACATGGCTGCTCCATGGATTGAAAACAAGCCATGTTTTTTTGGTATTGCCAGCACATCAAAGTTAGAAAATTTACTGTTAGAAGGGATGGCTCAGCTGTTCATGTTGTGTGAACACAGCCAGCTTATAGCATCTGTCTTCGGCCCAGCCCTCTGTTAGACTATAGCTCCCACCATCACCAGCTGGATGGCCTGATTTGAACACAGTGTATAAGGAGGAACAGATGAGAAACACCTTTTAATGACCTGCATTATATAAGAAGAGTAAGAGAAGACCCATTTCAGAAGTTTCCACCTCACCCCAGTGAGATCAATAAAGTTCTTCTGTATTCTGTACTGATAAGACCTGGAGGTTCCTTACTTTGATGGAGCAGCTGATGAGACCTCCTCGGTTATGCACCTTCAGCACCCTCTCAAAAAGGAGGTTTCGTTTGGCCTCATCGTTTGCGTAGCCCCCTTCCACCAGGTCAATGGGTTCTGAGACACCACCAGTGAAATCCACCAAGGCATCGGCCGTGTTGCCTCCATCTAAGGCTTCATAGCATCCTGAGAGTCTATTTGTGGGAAGAGAAAGAGAGAACATTGTCCACTGAGAATCCAACACAGACTAATCTTTCCCTGGTGCTCTCTAGCAATGGGCAAGGGTGCCTGATATGAAAAGCTGGTCACTTTCCTGAAACTGCAGTTCTTTGAGGGGTCATCCATGAATTCACACATGTGGCTTCTGCGCCTGCACAGAGCCCTGTTTTTGACCTTCTAGAGCTCATAGAAATGTTTGGTGGTAAGTGTGCAACTAAGCATAGGCCTGAATGAACGGTGTGAGCAAATGAGGTCAAGAGAATCCAAGCTGGAAGTGGTAGGGATGTTGGAGGACAGAGATGAAGCTGGGTTTATATGAAATGCTTTATCAGTGGGTTGAGAAAAAGAGAAGTACCTCTGGACTAGTGTTTCTCAACCTTGGGAACTTGAAGATGTGTGGACTTCAACTCCACGATATACACTCCCCTCGCCGCGCGCGTCGTCGT